TTGTCTGCGGGAGCTCGTCCGACGACGTCCTCCTGGTGCTGGTCTTTGATTGTTGTTGCGACTTCCTAACTGTTGCGACTCCTTCAGGCTTGGACCGAGCGCACGTCCGCGCATGCTCGCTGCCGGCCTCTGTCCAGTAGGCTTCGGCCTGCTGCGTCGCCCCACCTCCGTGCTTTTGCCGGCCCAGCCTCCTCTCACTCGCTTTGCCTCGCCAGCTGCCGCCATGTTTCTCCACCGCCGCTCACCGTTCACGCCGCCGCTACACCGCAAGGGACGGGTGCCCCCCCGCTCTAAGAGCAGGTACCCATTTGTCTATTTGCCCTTTAACGGGCTTTCGAGCCGCTGGGTGGGCGGGAGCTGGGACATAGGGCCGAGTGCTCACCCCGGCCACGGTGGGGCTCGAACAGCCGAAGCTGTTCGGCCAGATGTCAATGCAGGCTTCACTTACCGCCTGCGCCACCACTCCCTTATAAATCACCAGTTCCTGTGGGGTGAGAAACGGTTGCCTACACTTGGCTTTTTTGTGTGACTCTGAGTGCAGTTTGGGGATTTGGGCTCCTTGTCACAAGACACATGTCTCGGTGACACGTGTACAGACCACACATAGTAACACCCTTTAATTGTTTTCTGAGCCTATCCTTTCCCTTCTGTATTGGTCGCTAGTCTTGGAACCATTGGTAATTTCCGTGGTCCTTCTTTGACTATGGGGTGTTAGCTGTGGTTTAACCTTTAAGATCAGTCCTGGGCTAACACCCTATGGATATATCTTGGCCACACAGTCCCCAAGAATGGGACAGCTATCATTACCATTGTCTGCTGAGCCACCAGCCTTTGCTCCCAGACTGCCACTCCCTCTTTCTTTTATTCACTTGCTGCTAAACAACCAGTGACTGGTAGACAATGATTGCGCTCAGTATGCAGGGTAGACTTTGCCCTGTTGCTGCTGGGAACACCAAGATATGTGAAGAGAAATGCAGTGGGTCACTAAAAAAAAAAAAAGTATGCACTGCATGCAATGGTAAAATATTGGAGTTCTGTTAATTTTCTTATTTGCATTTTGCTCTTTTACCCTTCTGCTAAAAACTCATTGCCAAAGTTTTTTCCCTTCTGGAACACTATAGAATTAAGTTTCTCCTGTTGAGTGGTTGTCATTTTGTTTACGTATAATTGATTCTTGTAACTAAAGCTCTTGGACTGAGCAAATGAATGTGTGGCAGAACAGCCCTGCTGATCCACAAGCATCTTGAACAAGGGCTGCTGACTAACTGAAATTTCTCCCCCACATTTTCACATCTGTGCTGGGCCACAAACTACCCAAGGAGAAACTGTATGCCATGAGTCCTGGAGAAAAGTTGGAGTTGCACAAATTCATTGACAAGGAGTTGGCCAGGGGCTTCATCGAGCCAGCATCCTCTCCCTTTACTGCCCCTGTGTTGTTCCGGAAAAAGAAAGACAGAGGTCTACGGCTTTGCACGGATTACCGAGGGTTGAATGTGGTGTCAACCACCAATGCCTACCCCTTGCCCCTAATCAAGGACCTGCTGGCAGAGGCGGCTAAGGGGAAAATCTTTACTAAGCTCAACCTCCGGGATGCATATTTCCGGGTGTGCATCAGAGAAGGGGATGAGTATAAAACGGTGTTTAACACCCCCTGGGACAGTTCGAATATCGAGTCATGCCTTTTGGGCTGCAGGGGGCTCCAGGGGTTTTCATAAACTTGATCAAGGAAGTGTTACACAAGCTCCTTTTCAGGAGGGCCCTTGTTGATCTAGATGACATTTTATTATATTCCCCTGATAAGGAGTCACATGTGAAATTGGTGTGGGAGGTGCTACAGACATTATATGAAAACAAACTGTTCGCGAAGCTCTCCAAGTGTAAATTCCACTGTGCTGAGATGGATTTCTTGGGCTACCATATTTCCCCCAGGGGTTTGGAGATGGACCCAACCAAGGTCAGAGACATCTTGGTGTGGGAGGTGCCTAGAACCCAGCAACAGCTCCAATCATTCCTTGGGTTCGCGAATTTCTATAGAACTGTCATTGCGAATTTTGCCCAAGTCAGTTTGCCCCTCACAGACCTCCTGAAGACTAAAGGAAAGGGCCCAGAGATCACCAAGCCAGGTGCCCGGCTCCTCTGGACTGCGAAGTGTCATTCCTGACACAAGAGTTTATGGTGTCTCAAGTACTTTCTCCCTCAATAAACTGGAATTGATGAAGACCTGGTGTTGAGTGTGATTGACTGGGAACCCTGACAATTAGGCCAGTATAACAGGCTCCGGGTAGACTAGGGTGTGTCCCTAGCAAATGAGCACACTGAATTGTTGATGGAAGATGAGGCTTTACTGTACCCTGGAGATCAGGGTTCAGGTGTAAGGGCAAGCAACTTGCTGGGAACATTAGTCAAGGTTACCTAAAGGAGGTTCCCTGGAACCAATGGATGACCACTGGAATGTGCTAGTAACCAGATGAGATCTCAAAATTGCACTCAGACCAGCCACTACTTCAGTGATGGTTCAGCATCAAAGCTTGGGCCAACAGCAGCATCCCAGGCTTACATTCTAGCAATACTGTGAATTTCCTTCTCCAATTCTGCCTATCCCCACTCGACCCGTAAGGGGCTACCTTCCTAGGCAGAGCTGAAGCTTCTGGAATACCACCTGCTATTGAACTGATTAGTGTATCTTTTCCCTTGTCTTTTGGGCAACATTACAACCCCTAAATGAGGCCGCTGTATCCTGTCCTGAAGCATCTAGAGAGCATACTTGCAACTGTTTCACAATCCAGATGCTGCTGGTAGAAATGTTGTGCTTTTCTTTTGTTCTTATGGTGCTACATGAGCTGTGATATGTTTTCTTTAATTATTTGCTGTGTCTTATCAGAGTTCTGATCAAAAAGTTCTAGGTGTGACAAGCCTCCTCTCTCTTCTTCTAAGGAGACAGTCGTGTTCCACAGAATTTCTACTTTCACATGTTCAATTTCATAAATTAGCCAGTGGTTGGAATAGGGAAAAGGAGAAACCTATACACTTCTTTGAAACAATAAACACTGAGCTTTTCAGTGATAAGACAAAGCTTGAAGCTTTACAGAAGAGCCTGAGGGGCAACATGCTGCTTGGGGACTGTATACTGGTCTTCATAATGTACACCTGCCTCTGCCAGCAGCTTGCTATTTAACCATTAACAAGCTGCTGAAGAGCCTCATGGATTGCCTCTTTGGTTTTGGAACAGAGTACTCCTCAAGGATGAATGTCTGTCTGTCTCTCCTCTCTCTGTCTGTGCAAGTAAGCCATACCATTGTTTATTTTAATGTCCGCTGCTTTTGAAGAAAGTGGAAAACTGCCACAATGCAACGGAAAACTGTACAGTATGACTGATATGTATATAGAGAAAATGGTTCCATCAGGTGTTCAGATTAAACTTTAGTGCCTAATATTTATCTCAGAAGACTTTCGTTGAAAACATATGGGATATAAGCATTGAGTGTAACTAAGTGAACCCTATCCTAGTTCCATTGTAAAAGTATCCAAGAACAAATTGTACATTCAGGCCATTTTAAGAAATCACAGATAAAGTACAGGGGTATCTATACAGCCAGATAAAGGTTTTTTTAATTACATATGTAATTAGACAAGGACTTTTAAATGGATATTGATCAGTAGCCATTGCCTGCCAGCATCTTTCCCCACCACCTTCTACAATATGAAATTTAAAATTATTTAGCTTGTGAAGAAATTATTTTTTCGTTTAGAGGCTTTAAATGAGCAAAACCTTCATTCTGGATTTTAAAAGTTTTTTTCTGTTTGAGCAGAGAACAGGCAGGAAGGGGGAAAGTCAGTTCAATTGCTTTCCAGACTCCTCAGCCCACCTTCATACAAATGCTAATAGGTCTAGACAATGGGATGGTCAAGTCCCCCCCCCCTTCAAGCAGGGAACAGAGATTTGGAGGTGTTAAATAGTAGAGAGACTTCAGGAAGGAAAATTTTGGAGACTTCTGGAAAAGCTTCTCTGTCCTGGCCTGATCTGTTCAGTGGGTGGGGAAAAGAGAGATGATAAAACTTAGGGGAGCAAGGAGGAAGTGTTCTTTGAGGCTGAGTCCACCAGAGCAGACAGAACTCTTAACTGAGGTCTGGAGGAGGCAGCTGTTAGCTATGTGTTGGCCTGAAGAGCTGAAGGTAGCTTCAAGGTAATGGCAACTCTGGAGATCTGTAACTTCCTTAGCTAAGGAGCCTGTCTTGTATTTTAACATCTGATAGGGCATGCATAGAGAGAGGGTCAGAGAAATTGCGTTTTACCCATTCCGTTTGAATCCCTTGCTCAATCTGGGGCTGTGCTAAAAGGATGCTTGTGAACATTTTCATTTTAATAAATACTTTATAATTTTGGGTGATGGTTGTGGTTCTCTGAACCACATATACCTCCACTGTCTTGGACACACTATTTTAAAAGGAGCAACAGGGGGAAGGCAGGCAGTTGGCAAGTGGCTATTTGTCCAGGGGCACACAAGGCAGTAAACTGTCCCCATGGTGACCAGACACTTGGCAGCTGGAGACACAGAGGCAAGGCCTCAGAACTTGGATGGAAAGCTGGGAGTCCTGACCCTCCCAGCGGGCAGTTCCTACAAAGGTCAGGTAGTGGCAGTGGGTTACCAGAGAGAGAGAGAAAGCAAGAAGCTTCTCTGGGTGTTGGGGAAACCTGGAAGGGCAGGGTGTAATAGGGCCTGTTGGCCAGAGCAGGCCTATTCCGCACATAGCTTATGTGATTTCTGTCCCAATTACTTCCAAGAGTTCAGCATAAAGAACCATTTATTTTTAAAATTAACAAGTATAATTAACAAGTATAAAACATTGTATAGTATACAATAAAAAGTATAAAACATAATAAGCAAACAGAAGTCTTCATTAAATTAAAAAATACCCCCCCCTCCAAACTGTGACTAGTGAATGCAAGCCAATGTGGAAAGTTTTACAGCATTTCCAGACTTGGATTTTGACAGAGCTCTAGAGGAAGGGAGATCCGCATTTACGGGGCAGCTTCCAAGAATGCTCCCCAATGTGGCCTGTCTTTACACACTTGACACATGGCCAGTATGAGCAGATGCCCTTCGTGGTTGTGCTCTTACAGAGAAGAATTAAGCTTATAGTGTTTTCCATTTCTAGTTACTGAAAAACAACTTCCATCCTCTGCTTCATTTCTAGTATGGAGAACTTCTTATGCTTGCTTCCGGTACTGGCCTAGCACCAATGCTTCCCATCATCCAGCACATAACAGAAAATGAGAATGATGAAACGTTTGTAACCCTAGTGGGCTGCTTCAGAACTTTTGAAAATATTTACATGAAGACTCTTCTTCAGGACGAGTCACGATTCTGGAACATAAGGACATTTTATGTTCTAAGCCAGGTAACGTAGGAAATCTTGATGTTACTATCCTCGATGCTTCTCTGACAATGACTTGATTCAGACCATAATTTGCTGCTTCACAAGAAGGAGCCTTGGACTTGCTCATGCACATGGGCTCTGACTTTCTCCATGCTTCCTCCCCTCTTGCATAGTGTGACACTCGGGTCATTTCGAAGTAAAAGAGGTGCAGGAGCTCATTTGCATAGCTCATTTGCATATGCCTCACCCCCTGACAAAGGGCAGGCATGCAGGCATGCCTGGGTTCCCTGCCTGATCTTGAGAAGATCAGGCAGGGAACCCAGGCATGC